ATAGAATAGAATAGAATAGAATAGAATAGAATAGAATAGAATAGAATTCTTTATTGGCCAAGTGTGATTGGGCACACGAGGAATGTGTCTTGGTACAAATGCTCCCAGTACACATAAAAGAAAAGATACAGTCGTCAAGAGTCAAGAATCATGAAGTACAACACTTAATGATAGTCATAGGGTACAATAAGCAATCAAATCATACTAGTCAATATAAATCGTAAGGATACAACCAACAAAGTTAACAGTCATACAGTCACAAGTGGGAAGGGCGATAAGGAGTGATGAGAAGATTAATAGTGATAGTAGTGCAGACTTTGTAAATAGCTGGACAGTGATGAGGGAATTATTTGTTTAGCAGAGTGATGGTGTTTGGGGGGAAACTCCCCTTGTGTCTAGTTGTTCTGGTGTGCAGGGCTCTCTATTGTCATTTTGAAGGTGGGAGTTGAACCAGTTTGTGTCCAAGATGTGAGGGGTCTGTAGATATTTTCACAGCCCTCTTTTTGACTCATGCAGTAAGCAGGTCCTCCATGGAAGGCAAGTTGGTAGCAATTGTTTTTTCTGCAGTCCTAATCACTCTCTGAAGTCTGTGTCTGTCCTGTTGGGTTGCAGAGCCAAACCAGACAGTTATAGAGGTGCAGATGACAGACTCAATCATTCCTCTGTAGAATTGGATCAGCAGCTCCTTTTGGGCAGTTTGAGCTTCCTGAGTTGGCTTTGTGGTGCTTTTTGGATGACGTTTTTGATGTTAGGTGTCCATTTTAGGGTCCATTTTAGACTACACACCAAATGTCCGTGAAACGCTGTTACCTTCCCGCCGAAGTGGTACCTATTTATCTACTTGCATTTGCATGCTTTCCAACTGCTAGGTTGGTAGGAGCCGAGGTGAGGACAGGAGCTCACGCTGTCATGTGGTGCTCGGGTCTCGAATCCAGCCTATCAGCTTTCCAGCTGACCAGCTCAGGGTCTTTAACCATTGAGTTATAGCATGGTTTAAAGGGATTAATATGGGCTGAACAAAGTTTTGCCCCTAGATTTCAAATTCCCTTGTTTTTTTATTACTATTATTATCTCTTTTATTCATTAAACATGAAACTCAGTGAACATTTAAAAATGTATCACAAATATCATTGGCGCTGATGGTTGATACGGGTTGCTGCCAGCATCCTGCTGTAGGTATTAACCAAGTATCTTCTTAACATGTACAATGTTTCGAGTAGCTTGTTTTGAAATACTTAATAAATGGCACCTGAGTAATATATCATTATTTTCATCCCCTAAAATTCAGATACCTTCACGAGCGATTAAAACAAGTTCAAGAAGAAGTTAATATTCTGAAATCGAACATTGTGAAATACAAGGTAAATTATACTGTGAGCTATAAGGGGAATTATGTAGTAATCTTTTTGCAATGAAACATATTTCAAACTTACTAGTTAATGTGGGCTCTTTTTAACTTAATCAGCCTTTGAATGATTTATTTCTTCCACTAAAAAATAAATAAAACAGCACTCTGTTAATATTTCTTCATAGTTTTTAAGTTCAATTAGGTAATTTAGCTTTTAAAAAAATTAATAAAATGAAAACAAAACTGAAGCTTCAGGCCGCTTTTAAACATAATATTTTCTGTTTATATTGATAGAATTATTTTCTTGCATAATTCATTTTGTGTGATCTGCATATCAAAAGAGGCGTTTCGGTTCTCTTTATTCCCTGTGAAATTGCATTTCTTGCAGGAGAAATGGCTGCATGTAATTTATGTTTATCTCCTAAACTTTCAGAATCATGCAATCATTCATCTGCAAACCCTGCTTCTAGCACTGATGGTTTTACCTAGTTCGGTAATTAAACATCTTCAAGAAAACAAGCAAGCTCAGAGAGCTCCAAGGACTCTCATGTCCCTATCCCTGAGCTACAAATATTCTGCTTTGTTAGTAAAATAAGAATCAGATTTTCTTTCGCCATTTTAATGCGTATCTTTCCTTGGGCTTCCCCTTCTTTCTTCAGAACGCTCTAGAAAGAAGGAAAAATTCAAAAGGTCACAGCAAATCAAACAGCAGCGCCCTGACTGGAATCCTTTCTGCAAAGCAAGGTATGGCACGGAGTTTTTATCCTCACCATTTTTCTTCTGAAATTGACCACAGTGAGCCCAATAGGACATTTGAAGGACCTCACATGTGTTTGTCTCCATATTGGGGAACAGACTTGGTTTGTTTCTGGTTCTAGTGGGGTTTATTTAAAACTGCAGCATAGCTTGCATTTTCCTTGGAATTCAACATGGATCTGCATCTTCACAGATCACAGGGGCTTCTAAATAAACAGTGGAATGATGGCTGGGCAGCCAGGAAACTTCCCCTCAAAACAACCCCTCAGATTTTTTTTTTGATTTTTTTTTAAACAAATCAACACATATCTATACACAAGGTGTGATTTTTTTTAAAAAAAAGTTTTACTACAGTTTTTCACATTATAAAACAAAAAACAGCTCTTTTCAGTGCACAACATGATTCTGGGTTACTACATTTACATGCAAATATGACAATAGTTATATATTCATCTTTTACATTCAACTTCCTGCCTTATCCAAGTTTGTTTCTTTTTGAACAAATTTTATTGATTTTCCAAAGCAATACACAGACAAACAAAACATAAAATATAATGACATAAGAGTTTTTTTTTTCTTAAAAAGCCAATACAACATCTTATTTAAAGACAGAATTATTCCAAGTTATCACATTTCCAAACAAGCACAATTTGATATATATATTTACCTTATCTGTTCATCTTCATATCTTATCCCAAACTTCTCTTTATTACTTCCTTTCCTTCTATTTATTCAAATTATATCTCTTTAACTTTAGATTGTGTACATTTTTTATATCCATCTGTCTTATACATTTTCATTATTCTCTTCCAGTAAAAAAAAACAAACAAGACATAAAACATAAACATCTTTTCTGAAAGTTGCTTGATCCCGGGTTAAAACTCATCGTACAGACACCTCTTCAAAAATCATGTTCCTTTTATATATCATTCCATATCTTATTACCGTTTTCCATTTACTATATAGCTTCTTCCTTTTTTTAACTCTCTTAGTTTTATTCTACTTATCTCAGTTCAGGTCATAATATTTAACATTCTTTGTCTGTTCTCAGCTATCCATTCATTTTTTCTCTTTAAACAAAACCTCTCCTGTACACTAATTAGAGTATGACGCCTTTAACTCTTTCCCCTAACCTAATAATACTTAATATCACACATAACTTGTATTGGGATTCTGTTTAGCACATCCTAAAGTCACACAATATATTATATAAAAAGAAAAAGAAAAAAGAAAGAACGACAATAACAAAGAAATTTATAGATATATAATATAGGTAGTACCCCTGTCAAAACCATTTTAATCGTACCTATTTATACTTATTTATATATTTATATCTTAAACATTTTATTCTATAAATGCCTATAATAACACAATCTTATGTACTGATTCTGTAGAATCCCTTTTTCAATTAAGTTTACCCATTGTCTCTAAATAAATTTTGTTTCTTCAGATCTTGCTTCCCATCATTGAGACTTCTCACCCCTTCCTTTCTCCCTTGCTTATTCTTTTCCTTGCCCTTTTTCCCCCTTTGTCTTTCCACCTCCCTTTTCTTCTTGTGCTTTCCCCCTTCCTGTTGTTTTCTAACCTTATATCTACCCTTCAACTCATTTTTATCTTTTTTGGTTGTTTTTTTAGGTTTTAAAATCCCTTTTTCCTTTTCCTCTTCCTCCTCCTTCTCCCCCAATAGGGTCACATGTTCATCAAAAATGGTTCCTTCTTTGTCCCAATTATCCTGCTGTGCAATCAATTCTCCATAGGAATGCACCACCATTTCTAGGGATTGTAAAAGAATGTCCGAGGTATCTTTCCAGTCTTGTTCTTCCTTTTTATATTTTAGATATTCAGTTTTAAATTCATCCAAAAGTGGTGCCATTATAAAGAGGAGAAATTTTTCCCAAAACAACCACCCGAGTGATTTTAAACAAAGAAAAAAAAGTTTCCCAAAAGATGCAAAGTCACCAAACAATCCAGATAGACTATTTCATTTAGCACTTTTTCTCTTCTTCCATTTCTTTTTCTGGGGTTGCTATTAAATCACAAAATTCCAATTATAGTATGTCTTTTGAAGTCTTATTAATGTTCAAATGGCTCTTTAAAATTCTAGGCAGTCTGCTCCTTATTTTCAACCTACTTCAATTTTTTTCCTCTCCCTTCCCACTCACAACAGAAGAAAAAATTTTCTTTAAATATTTAGAAATCCATATCCCTTTGGCATTAGCATAGTCTTTAGCATTTAGCATACCTTCAATGCGGGTTTCCGATTTCTTTCAAAGCTGTTCCATTTGGAAGGAGAGTGAAAAGAAAAAAAGTTTTCCCTTTGATATCCATTCGCTGCTTACTCAGTCTGGGAGCAATGTGTCTTTAGTAGGTGTTAAATACCAGGATACTTTCACTGTTCCTTTGTCCCGGTCAGCAAAATCAGTTTCATTTCTTCACAAACCCCTCCAGCACATTTCTTTTCCCGGCTGGGCTCTTCTAAATGGCGGCCATAAAAGACCGCCGTTCAGTTGCCATCGGAGTGGGAGATTTAGCCGGCTAGGGAAGAGAGATGCGATGTCTCTCATCCCTGCCAGAACCCCCCAGTCTTCACCACCTTCTACAAAGGTGGCTTAGCCCCCGAAGCCAAATGGCTCGAGGCACTCAGGCAGTGAACACAGGCAGAAACCGTGCAGAGTCACGGAATCCTGCCTGCACCGAAGCACCACAAGCCGGAAGTCCCTTATCCAAGTTTTTTAAGGTGTGATTTTAAAACATAGACAAGGGCGTTCGTAATCTTTCTCTATAAAAGCGAAATACCACTCAGGCATCATCACAAAATCTCTAGAACTGCAAAGCCTACAAACTTGAAATTTGGCACGTATGTTCCTCTTGGCTTCTAGGTGCTCACTAAGAAAGGATCTTTCCAAATGACCGTCAGAGCATTTAGAGTATTTCCTATATTATTCTTATTATTAGCACGCTCTGATGCTAAAGAGTTCTACTCCCCCTCCCTACCTGAAAAAAAGAAATCTCTTCCAAATGCAAAACACAAGCAGAGGAGAGGAGTTTCAGTTTCAGTTTCACGGCATCAAACAGCTTTAGTATAGAACAGTTGAGCTAAGCCATGCCCAGGTTCCTTGCTGTCTCCTTGCTCACACAGTAAATACTGTTTCAGTTTCCAAACAGCCCTCAACTCTCTCACACACTGACAGGATGCTAGCCAGATGAATACTGATGGATGCTGGCAGGCAGAGGCAGAATTCCCCCCCACACACCTTATTTTTCTCCCCCAAAGCTAAGTCCCACCACATAGTTTCATAGTGAAGCACGGGGATCGAGCATAGATGTTGTTATAACAGCCCTGAAAAAGCTACTCTTGGCCCTTTTTCACACCCTTACGACCATTTGCAGTCTCCCCATGATCCCAAGATCAAAATTCAGGTGCTTGGCGACTGACTCGTATTTATGACGGTCATAGTGGTCTGGGGGTGTGTGTCCTGTGATCCCCTTTTGTGACCTTCTGATGAGCGAAGTCTGTGGGGAAAGCTGGATTCGCTTAACAACTGTGGCACAGAGAGCCTTAAAAACGGGGCAGAAACTCCCTTAACAAACATCTTGCGTAACAACAGGAAACTGTTGGACTCCATGGTGGTAGTAAGGTGAGGACCACCTGTTCAGTTAAAACATTCCTACATTTGTTTTGACTTCCTTCATGTCAGGGCGCCGGTAATTACCACCATTTAAATCATGAGTCTCAAGCCAAATTTTCAAAACTTAAAGAAGATTTATTAGGAGTAAACATGCCGGCACTGCCTGGGTGCAGCCTACTCTGAGATACATCATTCATTGTTAACCTTGACCCTGGTTTTCCCCCCCACCCCCTGGGTGTATCATAATTCACATTCTCCAATGGGACACATCCATAGCCCAGAGTCATCAATCAGGCTCTCCAGTTGGAATTTTGCATGGCAGAAACTTGGGTCACCTAGTTACTATCTTTGAAAACTATTTATTGGGTGCACTTTCTATTTCCAAGCTGCCGCACTGCTCCCCCTTCCCTTTCTGTTGGCAACTCTAAAAAGACCAGAGAAATATTTTATGAGTTGACACTTCAACTGTTTCCTAGTGCAAGAGCTGTTATCCGAAGATCATGGCTGTAGTTTACCAGCGACCCCTCAGTCCATTTCTGACCTTAAATCCTTGGCTACAGCTTTATTGGAGACCATTCATGAGAAGAATATGGTCATCCAGCACCAAAGGCAAACCAACAAGTAAGTGACTTTTTGTACAATAATATGAGTGTAGGCCTTCTCCAAAAGCTTTGCCGATATGGTCATTTTCTTGCCCTCACTAAGGTGTGCGATGCTTGAGGGAAATGTTTTTTCCCAAAAACACGGGGGGGGAAAGATGAAGGAGATAAACAGGTAGCCCTTGACTAACAACCGTGTGTGTGTATGTGTGTGTACCCTGTTTCCATGAAAATAAGACCCAACTGGAAAATAAGCCCCAGCGTGATTTTTCAGGATGCTCATAATATAAGCCCTACCCCCAAAATAAGTCCCAGTTAAGATTGTCAGCCAGACGGATGCATGTGGAACCGTATTTCCCTTAAAATAAGACCCAACTAGAAAATAAGCCCTAGCATGCTTTTTCAGGATGCTCGTAATATAAGCCCTACCCTGAAAATAAGCCCCGGTTTAAGATTGTCAGCCACACGGATGCATTTGGAACTGTATTTCCCTGAAAATAAGACCTAATTGGAAAATAAGTCCTCATATGTCTTTTGGAGCAAAAATTAATATAAGACCCAGTCTTATTTTCAGGGAAAAAACACACACACACACACACACACACACGGACAGTCCTCTACTTACAACCACAATTGAAGCCAAATATAATATGTATATGTGTGTGTGTACATACACATATATGTACTTGTACATATACATACAGACAGACAGACAGATAGAGAGAATGTCCTCTACTTACAACCACATTAAAGCCAAAATTTCTGTTCCTGAATTGACATAGTTGTTAAGTCAGTTTTACTCCATTTTACAACCTTCCTAGCCACTGTCGTTTAGTGAATCACTGCAGTTGTTAAATTAGCAACTCGGTGGTTAAGCAAATCGGGCTGCCCCCCTCCCACATTGACTTCGCTCGTCAGAGGGTCACAAAAGGGGATCAGGTGACCCCGAGAGATGCTGCAACAGTCGTAACTGTGAAAAGGGGTCCTAAGTCACATTTTTCAGTGCCATTGTAACTTTGAATGTTCGCGAAATGAACCTTCGTAAGTTGAGGGCTTCCTGCATGCCTTCCTTTTTGCTACTTTAAAAGAAAACGTCTCGGCAAATCAGTTTGGATCCATTTATTAAGAGGAGAATTGTGGGTTAAGTCCATTTTAAATGTGTTACAAAAGCTACGAGATGTTATCATTATATATATTGGTGTTTGTACGTATCTGTATGTGTGTATGTATCGGGATGCGGTGGCTCGGGCTAAGATGCTGAGCTTGTCGATGAGAAAGGTCGGCAGTTCAGCGGTTCGAATCCCTAGCGCCGCGTAAGGGAGTGAGCTCCCGTTCCTTGTCCCAGCTTCTGCCAACCTAGCAGTTCAAAAGCATGTTTAAAAAAATGCAAGTAGAAAATAGGGACCCCTTTGGTGGAAAGGTAACAGCGTTCCGTGCGCCTTTCAGCGTTTAGTCCTGCCAGTCACATAAACCACGGAGACGTCTTTGGGCAGTGCTGACTCTTCTTTGGCTTTGTAACGGAGATGAGCACTGCCCCCTAGAGCCGGAAATGACTAACACATACGTTCGAGGGGTCCCTTTACCTTTATATAACTAACCATTCCTGCAATACCAAATCTTTCTAATCAACACAACCGAAGTCAAAGTCTCATTTTTGTTTTCTTCACAAGCACAAATTCCAGAAGTAGTAGCCCAATAAAAACATAAATTTCCTCTTTGAATAAAACAATAGATTTAGCCATTCCAGCGTTTCCTTCCTTGCTGTGGAAATAATGTGTATTTCTATTTGCGCCTAGTAATCTCTGCGAACTGTTCCCGTTTTTATGGGTTAGAGCCAGAAATAACTAGCATGCATGTGCGAGGGGAATCTTTACCTTTATATATGTGTGTGTGTGTGTGTGTGTGTGTGTGAGAGAGAGAGAGAGAGAGTTGTAGACAGATTCCTAAACAGCACTTGTATCTCCATGTAAATCTCCTTTTTTCCCTCCCTTGTATATTGAATTGTTGACTCCTTGTTTCAGAATCTTAGGCAATCGGGTGGCGGAGCTGGAGAAAAAACTGAGAACTTTGGAAGTTTCTGGGTTATGGAGTCTCCCAGGTGAGTAGTATTTAGTAAAATGTCCACCTGTGAACCGCAAAAAGGCCGTCCTGCTTGAATCCACACCAATACACTACATTGATACAGGTAATCCTCAACTTACAACAGCTCACCGAGTGACCGACCAAAGTTACAACGGCCCTGAGAACAAGATAAATTTTTAGGACCGTTTTTCACACTGACAACCGCTGTGGCAGCCCCATGGTCACTTAAATTCAGACTGTCGACAACCGACTCACAGTTATGACAGTCACAGCACCCGTGTGTGTGTGTGTGTCGTGTGATCCCTTTTAGTGACCTCCAGACCAGCGGAGTCCATGTTAAAGCCAGATACACTTAACAATCGTGTTACTCGTTGAATAACTGCGCTGATTCACTTAACACTTTATGTGGCTAATTTAAGAACGGCAGTGATTCACTTAACAAATTTGGTGAGAAAAGTAGTGAAATCGGAACAAAACTCATTTAAGCAATTTCTGACTTAACAATCTGAATTTGGAGCACGATTGTGGTCATAGGTTGAGGGATACCTGTAGTTACATGTGGTGAATGTAAAGGAGACTTACAATACCTTTTCAAATGTGGGCTTTGCATTTTTGTTTGCGTCATCTTTAACTGGAGATTCCCTTCATCTGAATGTTTCTCCAGAGGAATTTCTAAATTCACCGAAGAGAAGTTTGGAGCTTTCAAAGCAAACCTGAGGTGAAAGAGAGGCCACAAACTCTGAATGTCTTGCTCTGTTCTTGTTTTAGATGTCAAACTAACATTTGATATAATAACGGTTTTCTTTCCTTCTTCTTCTTTTTCCCCCTTGCTGCCTGAAGGCCTGAGCTACAATATCTCAGTGGGATTCGGGAGTAGGTTTCTCCTCGATGTATTTACGCTTTTAGTAACAAACCTTAAGTGAGCACACAAAGTATGTTGTTGCTGGCGCATGTCAGGAAATGGAAAATGTTAGCAGAATGTTTTTTAATGCTTTGTTGCCTGGTTTAAGATATTCGACTCAAGGCAGTCACAAGAGAGATAGAGGATTCCTTGCATAGTTATTTCTAATTGGGAGGAAGTGTAGTAAGGGAAGAAATATTTCTGAATGTAAGAGGTGCAAATGGAAGAGTTGAGGGAGGGAGGGAGGAAGGAAGAAAAGAAGGAAGGAAGGAAGGAAGGAAGGAAGGAAGGAAGGAAGGAAGGCCAGGGAGGGAGGGAGGAAGGACGATGATAGATAGATGGATAGATAGATAGATTGATAGATACCTCCAGTCTACAACACAGTCCTTTCAGCAGTTCCAAGAAGGCTCCATACCCATTTGTACCACTCAGGTGACCCTGAGAAAACAGAGATAAACCTCCAAGAGGTCTCATGGCTGTCTAAAAGGATGCAAATGACCAGCTGTCTGCAAGGAGTAGAAATCCTTCCATTCCCCTCCATCCAGGGTTGAAGAAGCTTCTTGGATGAGAAGGGAAAGGTCTTTGAAGAAAAACCAGAAAGTCCAGTTGCTTCTTGAAAATAGCATCCCGAGGACACAGACAAAGCTCCAAGCAGCCTCAACGGCTCTCTAAAAAGAGTGCAAATGACCAGCTGTCCTCAAGGAGTATAAATCCTTCCATTCCCCATCAGCCAGCCAGAACTGAAGAAGCTCCTTGAACGAGAAGTGAAACACTTTCAAGGAAAAAACAAGAAAGTCCAGTTGCTTCTTTTTTTAAAAAAAAAAATCACCTTTGGGACCACCAGGATCTGGATGGTTGAGAACCTCCCTAGTTTGGGTTTTTTTAATGAACCTTCTTTCAAACAAAGGATTTTTTCACTCGGTCCATGGACGCCATTGGAGGCAACGCTCCAACTTCTCAGTCTTCAAAATTTCTTCTGACATGATAGCTGATTACTAAAGGGAGGAGTTAGTAGAGTAGGGTCACCTGATTGTGCCACAAATTAATCACCCTCTGCAGCCTGGACTGCTGGAGTTGCGCACTCCATGAATGTACCATTATTTTTCTTCCAGAAAGCTCAAAGCTATATTTTTCCAGGGTGATTCATGCTATTTATGTATTTATTTGTGCCACCAGAAAGGAGAGTTGATTCTCAGAGGAGAAAGTGCCAATTCTGGGTTGGATAAAGTGCTTGCTCCGACAATTGAGCGAAGAACAGAGGAAGGGAGATGAAAATTAGCACGTTCCTTCTGCTGTCGAGTAGGATATCCTGGTTTCATCAGGCTGGGATTATCTAATCCAGCATTTTGTGACCATGAAATTCCATCTTTTGGAGCTTTAATACTTGGGTTATTAGATGTGACTTAAGAGTTGATTAAGCTCTGCCCAATTAAACAGAGAGGGAAGAACAGAAGAAGCGAGAAGTATCGAGTAGGACACCCTGGTTTCATCAGGCTGGGATTATTTAATCTACCATTTTTAACCCTGAAATTCCATCTTGATGCAAAAAGATACTTGGATTATTGGATGTGGGCCTAAGAGTTGTTTAAGTTCTAAGCAATTAAGCAGAGAGGGTTAGAAAGAAAAATTTCTGGTATTAAATAGGACATCCTGGCTTTAAACACTTAACTTTGATTCTTGGTTTTGTTTTGTTTTCATCTCCTTTGGTTTTGGGGCAGGATAAGGGAAGCTAATCTGTTCCTGTCCTATGATTACAGGTGGCAAGGATACTATTACCTTTAGTGAACCAGCTCTTCCTGCCATCCAGAGGTCACGATCGCCATTGCGAGCGTTCATTGAGAAGCCACAACAGAATCGAGAAGGTAAGCATCTGGCAGTCATAATAGCGGTAACACCAAACATTGGAAAAGCTTCAACGATGGACATACAGATGGGAACCAGGCAGTGGTGGGATTCAAATATTGTTGCCACCAGTTTGGTGCGCGTGCTTTGCACATGTGCACACACTTTGCGTGCACACACGCACCAAATACGCACTTTGCGCAGAGGCAGAGGCAATCTAACTCGCCTCCTGCAAGCCTGCACGATCCCGGTCGCTTTCAGCAGCTGCCGCACAGCATTATTCTGTGCCACGCAAAGCAGCTGCGCTTCAAATTCAGCAGATAAAAGGTGAGTAGGGGAGCTCGGGCGGGTGGGCAGGCCCAACAGCAGAGCAGTGGAGAGAATCGGTTCCGTCTCCGCTGCTCATCACTCCTACCGGCTCGCCAGATCTGGGCCGAACCGGTTGAATACCATCACTGGAACCAGGTTATCTGAGGGACTGTCTCTCACTGGTCACATCCACCTGACCAGTGGAGGGATTCGATTTTTTTAAATTATCGGTTCTGTGGGCGTGGCTAGGTGGTCATGGCAAGGTGGTCATGTGACAGGGTGTGGCTATGTAGTGTTTCCCCTCCCTTTCGCAGCACCCTCTGTGCCCTGTTTTTTGCCTACTGGGCCTCAGGGAAGTCTCCTGGGGAGGTAGGGGGGATTAGCTGTGCCGCGCGATTTAGATCAGCGAGAAAGTAAGACATCTGATGATTTCCTGCTTTCTAGCTTATCTAAATCACACGGAAATACTGGTTTGGCCGAACCGGTAGCATTTTTTTTACTACCGGTTCATGTGAACCGGGTCAAACCGGTAGAATACCACCACTGCACCTGACCCTATAGACTAGAGCATCCCCCAAGGAGGTCCGTCTGGTGGGATCCAGAAGAAGGACCTTCTCCATGATTGGCTCCCTCGGTCTGGAACATCCTTCCTCTAAAAACGTCGTGCTTCTGTCAGAGTCTGAATCTGCGGGGGGTGGGAAAGAGGAGGTGGAACTTGAGCCGACAGAGACCGAAGGGGCAGCTTCATTTTCTGTGGGAGGAAAATGGGGAAGGGCAGGGCCAGTCAGGCCAGAGGGTCAAACGCACTGAATCACTGTCTGGCTCAGCCACAGAAATTTGGGGTTCAGCTGTGGTCATAAGTTCCCCCACCCAATCTCTCTCAACATTTTAAATATTCTGCAGAGCAATTAGCAGGAAATAGCTGCGGATTTCTCGGCTTCCAATGCTTTCATATTTTCCCCTGCCTGTTTTTCCTCTGTCACAAATTCTTTCATATTCTAAACTGTAATAATAATCGTTAAAAGCAGCCACACTAATTAATACCCTGGAGATTTCAGAGAGCTGTTCCCAGACCCCGTTTCTTATCTTTTTTTTTCCTTCGGGGTTTGAATAAAATAATGATCCGAGAATCATTAAGGCATTACAGGTCTCCTAATCGCTCAGCTGGGCTCAAGCAAAGCTGGGAAAATAATTTAGGGCCTCGTTGGCTCCAGAAATATTTCAACCAGGTCCTGTCTCCGTTGTCCTGAATGCACAGATTGAGCCCAAAGGAGAGTTAAAATTGGATGGGGAGATTCCACTTGGGATACACGGCATTGGGCTAAGGGTCATAAGGAGGTTATTTCAGTAATTAGGATATTTCTTAGTCATGAAATATGAACTTGCTATGTTTTCCTCCCTTTTCCTCCTCCACGTCTTTTTCTTCTTCTTCCTCTTCCTCGTCTTCCTTCCCCTGCCCCTCTTCCTCTTTCCTCTCCCCCTCCTCTTCCCTCCTTCTCCACTTTCTTCTCCCCTTCCTCCTTCCCTCCTCCTCTTCCCTCTTCTTCCTCCCACTCCTTTCTTCCCTCTTCCTCTCCTTCTCTTTCTCTTTCTTCTTTCCCCTCCTCTTCCTCTTCCTCCTTCCCTCTGCCTCTCCCTTCTCCTCTTCTTCTTCCTCCCCTCTTCCTCCTCCTCCTTTCTTCCCTCTTCCTCCCCTCCTCTTTCTCTTCCTTTTCTTCTCCCCTCTTCTTTTTCCTCTTCCTCCTTCCCTTCTCCTCTTCTTCCTCCCCCTCCCTCCCCCTCCCTCCTTCTCCTCTCCCTCCTTCCCACTTCCTCCCCCTTATCCTCTTTCTCCCCTCCCCCTCTTTTTCTTCCTCCTCCTCCTCCTCATTCTTTTTGCACGCAATATTGTACCTTGCTCTGGTCGATTGTGACCGTTTTCCGCTACAATTCAGCCAGGAGAGTAAATATAAAGTTTGTTCTTGGGGAAAAAAAGGACAGGGAAAATTATTACATTTCAGTCAACTGACCGAGAGGAAGAAAAATCTGTAACTTGATTTGTTTTTAGAGGGACTTGAAAATTCATAGGTGGGATTGCATACCAGTAGTTCCCGTTTAGTGTCTGTTTGTAATGAAAAAGTAACTTTATGATCAGTCCTAGCATTTATGACCTTCGTGGGTCTGTAAAGCAAAGGAAAGCTGTGATAACCTCATAAGCACAGTCCCAGTTTCACTTAGCAACCACTTCACTTAATGACCAAGTTGCCCATCCCAATTACGGTCACTAAATGAGGACCGTCTGTACTGTCTGCGAGGTGACAAATGACCCAAGGCCTTTATTTCTTTACGGTGAGGGAAGAGGACTTTTCCCCCTTCTTTCAAACAGCTAGAAGGATAAGAATCAGGACTGTGCATTGTTCTTCCCCCAAAGGGTAAATGAGGGGTCCCCAATCTTGGCAATTTTAAGACCTGCGGATTTCAACTCCCAGAATTGCTCAACCAGCGTGGGGAATTCTGGGAGCTGAAGTCCATAGGACTTCAAGCTGCCAAGGTTGGACACCAAGGGTGGGATTCTACCAGTTTGGCATGGTTTGGGTGAACCGGTAGCTCTGAAAATCAGTTGAGAGCAAACTGGTTCACTCCAATGATCAGCTGTTGGGCCCACCCCGGCTGTACTCTGTGCTTTATTTCTGGATTTTGCAGCTCAGCTGCTTCACATGGTACAGCGGATTGCTGTGCATCAGCTGTTTTACACACAGGGTGTGCAGCAGAAAGTGAGTTGCAAATGCTACACATGCGCGCAAAGCATGTGCTCGCCGAACCGGTTGTTACACCGTTTGAATCCCAACCCTGTTGGACACCGTGGTCCAAATTATGCCTATGAAAATTCCTTTATTCTTATCCATTGTTCCTGCTCACTGTCCAGACAGAAATCTACAATATTCCCATTTTTCTCCTGTAGAAGAAGATCAACCGAGGCAGCTGCCAATCACATGTCCTGCTAAACGAGAACGGACTCTTCCAGAGGAATCTGCTCCCCTTTCAGATGACTCATGCAGAAATCCAAAGAACAGTTCTCCAGCCAACAATTTCTATTCCTCGTTGCCTCAGGATCTGTCCGAAGAAGGCAACACGAGTGGCCCAGAGAAGGACAACGTGGAGCTGGCCGAAGAGCTGTCCGCTGTGGAACTGGGGGATGGAGTAACGGAAGATCCGATGGAGAGACCTGACGGAAGCCCTGCAGCAGAAGTGGACAGTTTCATTGAAGGGGACTCTCCCTTGTCCAGCCCTCCTGCCTGGAGTTCCAAAGAAGCGTCTGAGCTTGAGAAGAAACATCTGGGTGGAAAGCAGACTGTGGAAGAACTGACAGGCGCCCAGGAAAACGGGGTAGCCTTGTGTAGCTGAAAACGACCAAAGGAAATACATGACCATGCTGGATGTTACAGATGCTCCCAAAGTTCATTCTTTCCTCTTCAGCCTTGAGTTACATTCCAAATAAAAGACCTGAAGCTATGAAGGTGGAAGATATGTCTCTTCCTTCTTCTCTTCCTCTTCCTCCTCATTCCTTCTTTTTCCCTTCTTCTCCAAGTTCTTTATCTAGCCTTCCTCTTCCTCCTCCTTTGTTCCTTCTTCTCTCTCCTTTTTCCCTTCTTCTCTAATCTCCCTATCCATTCTTCTCCTCCTCCTCCTCTTCCTCTTTCTCCCCCTTCTTCCTCCTCTTCCTCCTTCCCCCTCTTCTTCTTCCTCTTTCTTCTCCTCCTCCTCTTCCAGCCTCTTGGTGAACATTTTGATCTTATTCTCCATTTTAACATTTTTCCACTCAGCCTGTTTTCCTGCCCAGATGTGGATATTGTTCCTCCTGCCAATCCTACAACGCATAACAAAATAAAGGCATAAATACAGTCCTCCAGTAAATATTTACAATAAAGGGATGCCGTGAGATTGGTTAAGATCCTAGATTCTGGCCTCTTCCATTTGCTCTTCCAGTGGGGTTCATCAGAAAGGAGAATATTCGTAGCCCAGGGTTGAAATGAGGGATCCTTGGTGCTCTCTGAGCTTGGCGGGTTGTTTTTTTTTTTTTTTTTGCAGATGTTTAATTACCAAACCAGGCAATATCATCAGTGCACTAGCAGTGCGCATCTGCAAGAAAACAACCAAGCTCAGAGAACAGCAGAAACCCTGAGCAACAAATATTCTTGTTTGTGATTAACGCTACCACATAGAATGACATAAATAAATCATAGGACTTGGTGTTCCTCCATTTGTTTATGTAATTGCGTCTCTTTTCCCCCCGGTCTCTCTGCAGAACCTATATTCCCCCCCCACCCTCTCTCTCTCTCTCTCCCTCCCTCCCTCCAGAATATATATTTTTGGCATGGTGCCTGCCTGAAAGATTAAGAGATTTAAATGTCACGAAGAGGGGTGTGTGTGAACATTGGACTCAGTTGAACCGACAGAATCCGAAACAATAAAATACGGAGGCATCTGAGCTAATTTTCCGTTTCTATTTCCTCAGTGCAGACCGAGGTAATATTGAAGAGCAAATTGTTGAAAACTTTCAGTCAATCAGAATAGAGCTGGAAGGGACCTTAGAGCGTGGATTAATTCCCACAAGAAAATAAGATTTCTTCCAAATCCAGAGAAGTAATTTGCTTGAAGCTTAAGTTTTAGTCTCATGCTAGCTTTATCTTTGGCCAAAGTCAAATTAAACAAACTGGGTAAAGCACAACCAATCAATCAGAATAGAGCTGGAAGGGACCTTGGAGGTCTTCTAGTCCAGCCCCCTGCTCAAGCAGGAGAACCAATATCATTTCAGACAGGTGGCTATCCAGTCTCTTCTTAAACACCTCCAGGGATGAAGCACCCACGACTTCTGGAGGCAACTTCTGTTCCACTGGTTAATTGTCCTCACTGCTAGGAAGTTTCTCCTTAGTTCCAGGTTGCTTCTCTCCTTGGTGAGTTTCCATCCACTGTTTCTTGTCCTGCCTTCTGGTGCTTTGGAGAATAAATTGACCCCCTACTCTTTGTGGTATCCCCTCAAATATTAGAAGACTGCTATCATGCCCCCCAAGTCTTTCTTTTCTCTAGACTAGCCAAACCCAATTCCTGCAACCATGTTTCAGTCTCCAGGCCTTTAATCATCTTAGCTGCTCTTCTCTGCACTTTTTTCCAAAGTCTCAACATCTTATTTGTAATGTGGTGACCAAAACTGGATGCTGTATTCCGGGTGTGGCCTTACTAAGGCTTTATAAAGCAGTACTAATACCTCATGTGGTTTTGATTCTATGCCTCTATTTATCCAACCGAGGATTGTATTGGCCTTTTTGGCTGCTGGCTCCTATTTTAGCAATCGTCCACCAGGGCTCCAAAGTCAGAATCAGAATCTGAATAAAGCTGGAAGGGGCCTTGAGAGGTCTTCTAGACCAGGCCCCTGCTTGAGCAGGAGATCTCTCGCAGTCCCTCTCGCAGTGACTGTTTTTGAACCTTTGTTTTTTTTTCTTGCTCAGGTGTAAAATTATGCTTTTCTCCATATTAAATTTGGTGGTGGAAGAGGGGGCAGGTTGGGGTAAGGTTGTGTTTCGTTTCCTTTCTGACTCATTAACTTGTGGTCCGTGCCTGAAATGCTGCTCTTTGTGTCCATTTCTCATCCGAAATGCTTTTCATGGGGACAACCAATTAACTTCCAGTAGGAGAGGAGAACTGGAGGGTTTTCTATCCTGCAGAGGGAACCCTCCCACCGACCAATTTCCAATGGTCCCCAAGGGTGGGGGGGTGGGGGGGCTTTTTGATCCCTAGTAGGACTGGGGGGAGCCGTGCAATATTTATCATGGGGGAATCCCGTGGCTGTAGCACCGAAAGGAGGCCTGATCCCTGCCTTGTCGTGTTGCATCTGATTTTTTTTTTTCTTTCCAAAATAAGAAAACGCATCTCTGGCAGCTTGCCTGGGCTCTGAGCCCTAGAGACAATTTTCCTGCTGGTTTGGGAACCTAAATTGTCTGTAAATGTTCATTTCTCACTCGTGGGCTTTAAGACCAGTTTGGAAGGGAGGATTAATTTAGCAGTAAGAAGCACTTTTATTTATTTATTTATTTCCCCCAGTTTTGTCAGAATATTTGCTAGGCACACGCCTAGCTCTTAATCACACGTTTGGGCGGTGTGGAAAGGAGAATAATTGTGAAGAGTGTGAAGTTACTAATAAATAGCAACAGCAACCACAGAGTTGGAAGGGATCTTGGAGGTCTTCTAGCCCAACTCCTTGCTCAGGCAGGTGATCCTATACCCGTGATGGCGAACCTTTGGCACACGTGTCACAGGTGGCACTCAGAGCCATTTGTGCCAGCATGCGAGCTGCAGGCGAACTTACCTCACTGTGCATGTGCGCGCCTCACAGCTGATTTTCGGCTGGTTTGAGGCCTTTTTCGGCCTCCCCAAGGCTTGAGGAAGGCTTCTGCAGGCCAAAAACTAGCCCCGTTTCATCACTTCCAGTATTTTCGGAAAAACAGGAAGTGACAAAATGGGGTTAGTTTTCAGCCTACAAAGCCTGCAGAAGGGTTCCTCAAGCCTTTGGGAGACCAAAAAAGACCTCAAACCAGCTGAAAATCAGTTGTGAGGCACAGTGTACATTGGGGGGCGGCATGGGTGGGTGGATTGTGCACGCATGCGTAGGAGGCGGGGAGCGTGTATTGCCTTCTGGGTGCTGGCACACGAGTGTGCAAGCACACGCACAATTTTTGGCACAGGAGCCCCAAAAGGTTTGCTGCTACTGTCCTATACCATTTCAGACAAATGGTTGTTCAATCTCTTCTTAAAAACGAACAACGATGTGGGAGCAAACTTCTGGAGGCAGGTCGTTTCCCCTATTAATTGTCCTCCCTGTTAGGAAGTTTCTCCTTAGCTCCAGGTTGCTTCTCTCCTTGATTAGTTTCCATCCATCCTTTCTCATCTTGCTTTCTGATGCTTTGGAGAATAAGTTGACTCCCTCTTCTTTGTAGGAGCCCCTCAAATGTTGGAACAGGGCTATCGTATCACCTCTAGGCCTTTTTTTTCATTAAACTAGACATACCCAATTATATTCTATGCTTCATTATATTACCTTGAATATAATTAGGCCTGATTATGATTAACGGATCCAGGAGCCTTCAACTTCAGTCGCATGCCATGAAAGCTAAAGTTGACAAGATCGCAGAAAAGAGTCTCCATCGGGCAGAAGTCTCTGAACCACAAAACATGATTTCATTCTGGCTTGTGACTGTCAAGCAGACAACCCCTCTCTTATCCCTCCTAATGCTGTCTTATTTTTCTTGAGGAAGAATAATCTTTTAACGACCTCGCGGGGTGGAGTCGGGGCAGCGGAATGTTTATTGGCCGGATGCCCTTCCTGTCACCAATGCAGAGTTTTTGTTCAGCAGATCTATTCTCAGTGTGCCCAGAGAGAGAAATATCTGCCCCTAGCTAGGATCGAACTCACAGCCTCCCGATTGTGAGGCAAGAGCTCCACCACGAGGCTTGTCCTGAGGAAGAATGATGAAGGCTCAATGCAAGAGGCTGGGAGAAAACATGGAGAAATCTTCAGAACCAGTTCATCATTACAGCCTACCAAAACTCTCCCAATTTTGCAGAGGATTTTTGCATGCTGGAGCAGAATTAGAGCTCATCTGCTCCCAGAGTTAATTGGCTTCTGGTGTGAAGCTTGCTAAGGTCTCACAAAAGCCACACCAAGTTTGAATCCACACCGATCTGCAACATGAAAGATCATTCATAACCAACTTGACCATGTGGGTATCTGTGGAGATTCCCAGCCATCCAGGTCATGGTTATCCCAAAGATGTTTCACTTCTCATCCAAGAAGCTTTTCCAACTCGGACAAGATGGTGGGGAATAGAAGGATTTATATTCCGTGGTAATTTGCATCCTTTTTAGAGAGTCGTTGAGGCCACTTGGAGGTTTGTCTATGTGATCGGGGTCAGCTGAGTGGTGCAAATGGATGTGGAGTCCACAACACCGTTCCAAGAAGGCTCCACACCCATTTGCACCACTCAGGTAACCCTGGGGACACAGACAAACCTTCAAGTGGCCTCAACGACCCTCTAAAAAGGATGCAAATGACCAGCTGCCTGCAAGGAGTATCAATCCTTCCGTTCCCCACCATCCGGTCAGAGCTGAAGAAGCTTATTGGATGAGAAGCGAAACGTCTCCAAAGAAAAGACGAGAAAGTCCAGTTGCCTTTTGGAAAAAAGCACTTTTTTGACAACAATTTGGGTGCTATAGAAATCAAACCAATCCCCCAAGGCTCAGATATAACCAAGAAACCGAACTCTGTTTTAAATCAACCCCGTGGTATTTTTGGGAAGGGAAAGAATTGGATGCAACCTGAGACGCTTTGGGAAAGAGGACTCATCGTAACATTCCCTGCAGAAGGTTGGCAAGGAGAAAGATGAAACACCAAAATTAAGTGTTGTTTGGCTGCATCCCTCGGTTGGGTCCCGCCAAGCCGAAATCGGCTGCTGTTTCCT